GACCAAGTGAGAAGGTTCAAGCTGAGCACGGATCCACTACTGCGGTGGGCAACCCAAGAGTACGTCTCAGGGCAGCGCGAGCTGGAGGAGCAGGCCAAGAACGAGACGAACGACGTTGGCATGAAGACAGAAGCCAACTGGGATGAGTTCTTCAGACCAAAACGAAACGGAGCTAAAGGAGGGGGACCTGGTCAAGGCGCCTGAGGAACTCGTCATGTTCTCAGTCGAGGAAGGCTGTCGCAGCCATGCACCTCATTTGTCGTGTGCACGTTTTGTCTACGGACTTTTGGGTAAATGGGGGACGCAAAACAACAGTAAACCATGGCCGAGTCTACCACCCACAGCGGCCTGAGTTCAGCCACGGAGGACCTGCGCGGTTCAGCTTGTACGACGCACACAGAACTTGGGACGACTTGGGACGCACACAGAACGTTAACAGCTTGTTATGAGTTCGCCTTGTCACGTCCCGGTTTCACAAAACAGATACTGTCCGGATTAACAGCTACAAGTGCAAGGACAACTGCCGGACATAACAGGGAGGGCCAGTCCCGCATATACTGTGGTTTTTCAATGAAGGCAATTACAGGTCTACGCTTGATTAACGTTGGGGATTGGGAGGCGTTGGCAGCGTTCATCGGTCATGATGGGGAGTTGTCACCCATCGACGGCTGCATCGCGAGGATAGCGGTCGTGTCAGACGGTCAGGGTGTCGCCGAAGTTCTGGCCTTGGCGCCTCCCTCGAGAAACGGCTTCCGCGCGCATCGAGCGCTTGCTTGCTCGGACCCTGAAGGAACATCTCCACGACGCGAATCCATCCGTTGCCAATGCGGCCCTGAAGAAAGCATTTGGCAGAGGGATCATCAAGTGGCTGGACACAAGCAGTACCGAAGACACGAAGATCGTCGATGAAAAACCAAAGTAGATAGATATGAGGCCGCTAGATAACGACGAACAAAAACGGCTCTCGGCGGAATATCCGAAGTGGAGTGCCGTAATTCAGGATTCGGCCCCCCCCCCCCCGCGTATTG